TTAAAGTAATATAAATTTTAGCAATATGAGGCTCAATGTAAGACTATGAATATAATTATTTCATTTTTCATTTACTTGCACAGGGTTATATTTTAATGAAAGGATTTTTTTGGGTTTTCATTAACTGTACAAAATCATGAGCTTCATTATGCCTCTCATTCATATGTACAATATACTTGAACATATACAAAGTATGTATGTACATATATATTTTGATTATGTATTACTTCCATTTCCCCCACGTTCCCTTCAGTCTCCTAGATACTCTCTTTTTCATTTCCCTGGTTTTTCTCATCTAGACAGTCCATAAAGGAGAAAACATACTATATTTGTCGGTATGAGTCATGTCTGTTTCACCTAATATCGTAATCTCCAATTCTATGTATTTTTCTGCAAATGGCATATTTTCATTCATTTGTATGGTTGAATAATAATCTATTTTGTGTGTTTGTATGTGTTTGTGCATCAATCTACCTCTCTATCAATCATGTTTTCTTTATATGTTCATCTGTTGATGATTTAGGATGCTTTAGGATGATTCTACAAATGGATTGTTAAGTCCATCTGAATGAAACTCCTTGTATTTTTGTGAATTGCTCTTGAAATTGTAGTCAGATATTGGAGCTAATACAGTGATTTAAACCAAGCACACATTCAAGATCTGAATTACTTTGCGACTGCCATTAATTCTTTTGAACAGTTAGTTGATATTATCTTTTTTTCAAAGATATTAATAGACCAGAATTTCATCTGGGGCTGAGGTCAGATAACACTTTTTTTTTTGTCGGTTGTGGGGCTTGAACTCTAGGCTTGGGCACTGTCCCTGCTTTCTTCAGCTGAAAGCAAGTGCTCTACCACTTGAAGCACAGGGCCACTTCCTGCTAGTAATTCTTATAGTCCCACATTATGGAATTCTCCACAAAGAGTCTGGGGATATCAGTGTCACAATGATTTTTCAATGGCCATCATTCTAGCTGATAGTGGTTCTTCAGTTCTTCTGTACACTGTATTTTACCCTTCTCCCATAGCCATCTTGATCTTCCACAATTATAGACAAAGCTTAAGGTTCTCCATTCAAAAGGATGTTAGAAAATTAATAATAATAATAATAAGCCAGCTGCTGGTGGCTCATGCCTGTAATCCTAGCTACCCCGGAGGCTGAGATCTGAGGATTGCAGAGTCTGTGAGACTCTTATCATCACTAAACCACCAGAAAACCAGAAGTGCTGTTGTGGCTCAAGTGATAGAGCACTAGCCTTGAGTTGAAGAGCTAAGGGACAGTGCAAGTATGTTAGAATACACTTTTCTCCTAAGAACGTTAGCTTTGAGTTTAATAAGTTGTGATCATCTGTCTACACCAGTACTCACTCCTCATTATTTTTGCCATTTCTCTTCTTTGGAATTTTGGACTATATATCTACGTTTTGAGGCTAGAAGTTCATTCTAGCATCCTCAGTGATATTTGTAAATATTCTTTTAGGGACTAACTTTGAACACTATTCAGTATCTTTACCTTTCTAAAATAGGGAAAATCAATTTTAATCTCTGTTGGGACAGCCAGCCTATTCCTACCATCATAATTGTTATTGTGGATGTAGAGACCAACAAGGAAACAATACAGAGGGGCTAACTTTACTGAACAAGTTTCAGAAAAGATTTCACAGAGAAGCTGAAAACTGAATGCAGTATTGGGGGGGGGAGGGAGGGACAGTAGATTAGTTAAATATGCCTATAGAGAATAACACAAAGTGGGACTTGAGAAACTAAGCTTAGAGAAAAATATAGTGGTTCTTTTTCAAAGTGATAAGCAATTTTATGTGAAAGTAGTTTTACATGTGAGAACAGAGTAATGACAGACAAGGTTTAAATCAGGGAAGTATGGGGTGCCTTTTCAGTATTCTAAATAAGAATTCTAAATAAGAAATCCTAAATAAAGAATTATTACATATATTAAGGAGAATTTTATAGCTTTATGGACATTTTATTGACAGGTCTTGTTTGTGTTTGGGGCTGTTCATATATTTAAACAAGGTCGGTAAACATAAATCTTACTGATTTTAAGCTTCCGCTATATTCAAGCCAATTATTTTTCCCCATGCTGTAATTTGTCCTCAGACAACTTCTGCTCAAATATTCACCCTGTCTCTGCTTTCTCTCTGTGTTTGAGTTGCTTCCTATGATCTGATTTTATACCCACTTGTCACCAAACTTTAATAAACAATGAACAAAAAGGAATGGAGAAACCAAAGCTTCTCTCCTCAATTTTCCTGAGGCATTCTTACTGGCTACATCTCTTCAGTGGCTCCAACTCTGAATATCACTCCATTGTTCCTCTTTATTCTTGGGTCTTTATATCCAAGCTGCCACTTCTGGATCCCAGGGCCCTGTCTTTGCTGAACCAATCTTTCTTGTTGAATCTCAACCTGTATGAAGTTTCCTTCATTAGCCAACGGTTTTCATGCAGTATGTGTAAGCAATGTGCAGGCATTTCTTAATGGATTAATGTACTTCACTCTAACTCGGTATCATACATGGTTCTTTGCAACATTTTTTAGAAATGCTTCTCCTCTGAATCCATGCAAAGAAGTGAAATTAAAATGTTTCTTTTTAGGTCCTCAGATTCATAATTGCTGCTAATATTGAATATTTTTACATTAGACTTAGCCCTTGGCTACCAAGCCATTTAATCTGATTAGATTTCTTTCCAGAATTTATAACTTTGGAAAACTTTCTGGTGCAATATAAGAGAAATTTTGAATTTTAAACTCACATGCAGGATATAAATAACTCTGAATAAGGTGAGATTGCATCCTTATCAATTCACTGCATTCCACTACCATCACCACCACCATCATTTATTTCTCTTCTATATTACACAGCCCTAAGAATCATTACACTTCCTGGCGCCATGCCAGCTGCAGGCCATGCGCCAGTCTCTGGTGGGCCGGCTTCCAGCTGCCCCTGTGCGCCCTGCCCCGCCCAGCCGGCCCAGTCCCGCTGCCACGGGCCGAGTGTCCCTCCGCCACGGGCAGAGTATCAGTTACTAAGCACCCCCCCCCCTCCCCGCGCGGGCGATTTCTGCTTAGTCATTGTCTTCCAGGGAATGGCACCTTCAGTCTGAAATCGATGCCTCTGAGGCAGCCGCTTGGCCTCCGGCCGCCCCGACCGCCGCTCCGCCGCCCTCCGGACTTCCAGGCCCCAAGAGCACACTGGCCTCCACCACGCGGGCCCGGCGCTCGCTCATGCCTCTCCAGCCGGGACACCACGTCCAGCCCCGCTGCTGCCTCCCGGCCCTCCCGTCCACCGCCCCGCCGCGCCGCCACCCGGCTCCTCTGGCGGCTGCCTCCATGTGCACCTACAGCCGCGCTGCTGGGGCGCTCCTGGAGCAAGCCAGCACCCTGCACCTGCAGACTGGGAACCTCCTCAACTGGGGCCACCTGCTCAAGAAGTGCCAGTCCACGCACAGCGAGGAGCTTCGAGGTGGTATCCAAAAGACCTTGAATGAATGGAGTTCCCAAATCAGCCCAGATTTGGTCAGGGAGTTTTCAGATGTCTTGGAATGCACTGTATCTCATGCAATAGAAAAGATAAATTCCGATGAGAGAGAAGAAATGAAAGTTTCTGCAAAACTGTTCATTGTGGGATCAAATTCCTCATCATCAACTAGAAATGCAGTTGACATGGCCTATTCAGTCCTTGGAGTTGCACAGCTGGATTCTGTGATCATTGCTTCACTGCCTATTGAAGATGGAGTTAATCTTTCCTTGGAGCATTTACAGCCTTACTGGGAAGAATTAGAAAACTTAGTTCAAAGCAAGAAAGTTGTTGCTATAGGAACATCTGACCTAGACAAAACACAATTGGAGCAGCTGTATCAGTGGGCACAGGTAAAACCAAATAGTAACCAAGTTAATCTTGTCTCCTTCTGTGTAATGTCACCTGATTTGACTGCATTTGCTAAACAGTTTGATATACAAACTACTGACTCACAATGATCCAAAAGAGCTGCTTTCTGAAGCAACTTTCCAAGAAGCTCTTCAGGAGAGCATTCCTGACATCCAGGCACAGGAATGGGTGCCACTGTGGCTACTGAGATACTCGTCATTGTGAAAAGTAGAGGGATTATCAAATCAAAAGGCTACATTTTGCAAGCCCAAAGAAGGGGTTCTTAACTACAGCTTGGGTCATCTTAATTTGCGGATCTGTATTTTTCTTGAATATAAGATAAAATTGAAATGTATAAAAATCTAGCTGTTGCCTATAAAAAGTGTCATTGAGGCAAATATTCTTCAATCTTTCTTTTGGCAGTATGTTGTCTGTCACGTTTTGAATACTTCTCGTGCCTCCTTATCAGTCCACTCACATGAACTATTATTTTCATTAAGCTATTATTTTCTAATTGAAATCTATATACAAAATACTTAAAATATATTTTCCTTTATTTTTATGAGTAACAGATATCAAGAAGATTGGTTGTTAGATATATTTTGGCTTAGTATCAGGGTAATGTACATACATATTTTTATTTCCAAAATTCATTAATTGCTTCTACTCTGTAGTATAACTAAGCAATTTAATTACAATTGTTAAAACAAATATTGGAAGATATTTTTCCTGTTATTGATAAAATAATTTTTCTCAGAATAACTGGAGCAGCTGGGATCTACTAGTGAGGTAAATAAAATTCATTCTTCAATACATGAATGAAACAAAAAATTTTTTACGTGTTCTTCCTTGCAGTTTAGTTACAATGATATAACCATGTATTCTTGTATTTCTCTTCCTATTAGTTAGAGACATACCAAAGTAAGTCTAGAAAAGGGATTAGAAATTTCAAAATTATCATTTAAGTGTTTTACAAATGTTGTTTTATCATCTACAGATTTTCTGCATTTCTTATTCCATCCTTGGTATATGGCTATTCATTCAGGGATACCTGAGTCAATTGCACATGCCATGTGCTTAGCACTTTGGGCTCTGAAGAGAAGGACAAAGGGGCCACAGATTAAGTTGTAAAACATGACATATTTGTTCCCCATTAGTAACTGACCTGAAGGAACTAAAACCAGACAAAGATGAGAGGGAAAAAAATCTTTGATATAATTCAGGGCCAACATTGTCTATTTAAACAACTTTGTTTGAGATGTGGTCTTAAACTTTATTTCGTTTTTGTGCTAGGAACTGAATCCAGATCCTTGTATATGCTAAGCACATACTCTAGCACTAAACTACTTCCACCCTACTCTTAACTATTTTAAAACAGAACAATGTAATCAAAACTTTAGAGCTAAAAGACAGTAATTCAGTTAAATTCTCACTAGTTTAAAAAATAGAAAATTACAAATAAATGACTTTTGATATATACTAAAGGTCTTCTTTGCTTTATAAATTTTTATCTATGACTGAAGCAATTTAAACATTTTTTAAACCTCTTTTTAAACCTAGGCCAAATAAAATTATTTTTGTTCAATTTTTTTCATCTTAGGGAAAAGAACTCTGGTTCCATATTCAAAATACAGTAGACCCCTTGCCTAAGAAAAGTTTTGTGGCTTACTGGTTAGATAATTTAAACATTAGAAATATAATGTGAAAACTGATTTACCTGCTAAAACTTGTTTAGACGTTGTGCTGCTTAAAGCCTTCTAGTTTTTCTATAAATTGTGTGCAGTATTATTAAATATAATTTGGAAATGTACAATTTTTTCATATAAGTCTTCACATGCCCATTTTATTTTAAGATCTGTGTGATGAACTGGCTGGGCTATTTTGATGGGGAACTTTAATATCACATTTATTGTCTTTTATAATCTAGGCCTTAAAAGCTGTATATTTTGAAGAATTATTTTGAAAGTTGGGGGGGAAACCCTTATATTACTAGTGTATCCAAATGTCAGCAGGAGTTTTTTGTGACCTCCCTCTTCCACTTTTGAAAAAGAAACATCATAAATTCATTTTTGTGAAGGGGATCATATATAGAATTTTCTTTATTTTTATTTTTTCAGAGCTGAGGACCAAATTCAGGGCCACTGAGCTTCCACTGAGCTAAATCCCTAAACCCATGTATAGAATTTTCAAATTAGCTTTTTTTGTTCCTGTTTTACTCTCTATAACCTTACTTAATGACACTTTAAAGGCCTTACAATTTTTCAAGCTGATGTTTATAGAACTTTTTTCATGAGCTTTCAGAATATGGTCATTACTTTTCAGATATTTAAGGACAATATTTAAAAGCCATAAAATGAAGAGTGGGTAATAGTACAGATAATTGCTTAAAACTGAAACCTAAGTTATCAATAGTGTACATCACAGATACGTTACTGGGATGATATGAATGCAATGACCTGAGGCAAAAAGAATATATATATTTAATTTTTCCCAGTAAATAAGCTGTAGCTTACTACACTTCCAAAATACACTAGAGCCTTACTTTAACACAATGTACTGTGACTTGGAATTTGTTTTACAATGAAACTACCTTGAATTCCCATGGAAAAAATCATACTCACCAGAAGAACCAACTGTTTTGTATGAATGGTTCTGACTCTTTTTACACCAGAGCTAAGTAGGATCTTAATCTTCAGTGACTGAAGGTCTAAGGCTCATTTAATTATCTCTGTAAGATTTTCTTCCTAGGTTTTCCACTTGGTGTTTGTAGTTGTTGGAAATGTAAACAACTGATATATTCATTGTATATTATATTGGCTGACAATTCCTTTCTGCCAAATGTACCTTTAGAGAAATATGAAACTGTTTTAATGAGAGTTTAAATCATTTGTGTCATTGTTTTCATACTCAATATGCCAACTTAGGATTCTAAACCTTTTTTTCATCATTAACTTATGTACCACATCTTATTATACCTGTCTTTTCCCCATAAAAATGGTGATGGGATATGTAGATTTTATTTTTAAAAATAGGTAACATGACTTTTATTAATACTTTCACAGTTTTCAGAAGTAGAGATACATTCAGAAGGGAAAGTGTTTTAAATTAGATCATTCTTATGTGTCGGTAGCAGTGTACTAAAAGATAAATGGCAAAATTATTATTTAAATATCCACTATTTTTCCTTTTTCCTATTATGAACTGAACTAAAATAAAGCATGAGTTGTTTGTTTTTTTTTTAAAAAAAGAATCATTACATTTCCTATATTTGTAACAGAATAAACGTTTAAACATAATATTACAGAATATTGCCATGTTAGGGCCAAAATGTCCCCCAAAATACACTTTACACACCAGATTGAAATGACTGAATACAGAGCAATAAAACTTTTTCCTGGGTTTGAATTCATCTGTTATCTTTTTTGTTCCTGGAGGAACTAGAGTTTGAACTCAGGGCCTCACACTTGCTGGGCTGTAGCTTTACTACAATGTCTCCAACAATGTTTTGTTTTGTTTTGTTACTGATTATTTTGAATATGGAGTCTAGGAGACTTTAGCACTTTGCCTGTCCTGAAACCATGTTCCTCTGGATATCAAGCTCCTGAGTCGCTCAGTTTCTAGGCATGAAACACTGGTGCACAGATGCCATCTATTTTAGTTGGTTTTTGTATAAAAATACCACAATTATTCATTATTGTTCTTCTGCGTGAATTTATCTAGGTTTTCCAAAACTATTGAAGTTATTGTTTTTTTTTCCTGATTTAATATTCTTAGTACATTGTTCAAAAATAAACTGACTGTAGATGTATGAGTTCATTTATTCTATTCCATTCCATTGTTCTATGTGTGTATTTTTTTGTAAAATTACATGCTGTTTTGATTATGACAGATTTAAAACATATTGTAAAATCTAGTAATGTGATGCCCCCAGCTTTGATTGTGTTTTTGTTTGTTTTTGTTTTTGTCGGTCATGGTGCTTGAACTCTGGGCTTAGGCGCTGTCCCTATGCTCTTTAGCTCAAGGCAAGCACTCTACCTATTGAGCCACAGTACCACTTCTGCTCCCCGTCTCTTGAGATTGATATTTCTAGTTATTTCCCTATTTCTTGGTGGTATCCATAATTTCACCTTCACCTCTGTGTTCTGTCTCTGTCTCTGTCTCTCTCTCTCTGAAATTCAATTCACTTAAACACTGTAAAACCATCTGTTTCCTGCTGGGACCTTAACTGCAAATTTCTGAATTGGTTTCTTTTATGTGTCTTTAATATACAATTTGAGACATAAATGGTATTCAATTAGGGAACAAATGAACTGTTGACTACATATAATATGTGAGATTAGTTTCTAGGCTAAAACCCCCTACATCTTGACTCATGAGACACTAATTAAAATGTACTATATAACTGCTTTGCAAAAGTGTTGAGTTCAAATTTTCATTATGGTTAAGGCCACATTATGAATGCTTCAGTCATTAATTTATGACAATGCTTACTTGTTGAATTGTGCTGGTATTTAACTTCTGTTTTAACACTGAGGCAGGATACCACTGGACTTAGCTATTACTCACATGCCTAGCTGAGGAATGGAATTACCACTGAGATATGATTAGATAGGAGCTTTCAGTTTTGGCATTTTCATTTCTGTGACTGTGAAGCTTAGTAGAGTGAGTCTAAAATTTATTCAAGGATGTATAATTTATTCTTTCATTTAAGAATCACACCACAGTTTTCTTGCTTGTCATGCCCATGCCAATGGCCAGATTTCATAAGCCATCAGTCTTTCTTTTCATCCTTCCATCATTATGTATTCAAGGGGCCTCTGCCACTTCCCTTAAGTTTGTAGCAGATGTAACATGAGTATAATTGTCCCAGGTTCAATATTTGCCAAGCAATAAGCAGTTTATTGGTCATTTGTAAGAAAAATAATTCCTGAAATTTTTATATATTTTGTTTACAGGGAGCCAAGATCTGTTCAGTATGTTGAGCGATGAATGTTTTCACAACCAGGCATGGAGAGCAACTGTTGCAAAGGATCTGCCAAGACAGGTTGTAGTATAGAGGATGAAGTGAGACATTCAAGTGAGTGAGCAAATGGCCTTCAATTAGCACTGAAGAACTTAATTTGCATTTGTCTGAATTTATTTAACCTGTGAACTCTAATAATGACTGATCCTTTGTTAAGGGCTTAACATATGACAAGAATTATTCTAGGCGTTTTTTTTAACCTCTGCTTTTCTAACATCTCATCAACATCATGTTACATACTAACTCTCTAATTTTAGAAAAAAAGAAAGCAAAAGATTAATATAGTTTATTAATGAGTCCAAAGCCATATAGTTAATATAAGAATGAGAAATATTTCGTATCACATCTTTACTAGCATAGAATATCATAGGCTCTAGTAAACACTTACTGGGAACTTTTCATAACTTGTTAAGTAAAACTGTAACACAAACATATATGATAATGAGATAATGTAGAACACATTTTGCCAGGGTTAAGGTATTTAATCAGGTAGTATGTAGATTAGACATAAATTAATTTTTTTCAATTTCATGCCTGACAAATAAGAATTGAAGATAAAGAAAAAAGCCTAGCTGAAAAGTAATCAGTGTTCTTTCATTGTGCCAATTTTTCATTACATTCCAATATTGAATATGTGTCACGGCATTTTTTATTTCTGTAGAAATGCAAAGTGCTGCTTTACTGTTTTTGTCTTTTTCCTTTAGCTGTTTCATTTCTGAAATAAAGGTCTCTTGCAATATCCAGATCATCTTATATTCATTAGGAAAAACATATGGATATTGTAAATGTCATTTATGCCAGTAGCAAGTTATTTTTTTCTATTCACACATATGTGAGGCTTTAATTTATCATGTCATCTACCATCTGGTTTGCAGGAGAGATTTTTATTACATTTTAATAAAGAACATATTGAAGAAAGCAACTTTTATTGCTAAGTAAAGTATAGAGGCATTGGCATTATTTCCTGGCACCTTTTCATTGATAATTACTTGTCTTTTCAAATTTTGTTTAGGCGAAGTGTGATAGCATACATACCTCAGGAGAGGGAAGTAAGCAAATTATGAGTTTGAGACCAACCTGGGCTACATAGACAGATCCTGCCAAAACAGCACCAACAAAAACAAAAACAAAAACAAGGGTCAGAATTGTAGCTCAGTGGAAGCACATTTTTCAAGGCTCTTACTGGGTTAAATATCTGGGGAGGAAAAAAAATAACGTTTTGTTCAGTTATTTTTCAAGTATATAAGAAAAATATGGAAGTTCTTTATGTTTATTTTTGTTAGGAATAACATGCCATATTCTATCATATTAGATATAAAGTACCATATCTAATTAGATATAAAATGACATCATGAGGGGTTGGGGAGGTGGCTTAGTGGTAGAGAGCTTGCCTTGCATGCCTGAGGCCCTGGGTTCGATTTCTCAGCACCACATAAGCAAAACGAAAAAAATCCCCAAGTGGCACTGTGGCTCAAATGGTAGAGTGTTAGCCTTGAGCTGAAGAGCTGAGGGACAGCGCCCAGGCCCAGAGTTCAGGCCCCATGACCGGACCCCCCCCAAAAAATTGACATTATGTGCTGAAGGTATAGCTCAGCTTTACTTAGCATTCATGAATCTTTAGTTTGAATCTAAAGAATCACAAAATATCAATATCATTATACAATTTGTAGTATATAAAAATTAGTTTAAATTTCAAAGGTATTTTATTTTATATCTTTGTGAAATTTGAAAAAGAAATAAATATCTTTGCTGGAAAAGAGATAGCAGGTCTATCATGCCATAGGTGTCTAAAACTTTCAGTGTTTGTGAGTTCCTTATTCCACCAATGCAATGTTTCTAAGAAGAGAAGACCTTATCCAAATCAATTAAATATTGACTAACCTTATCCTTCTCAGTAAACAATAGCCCCATTATGAATAATCCCTCAGCAAATTCATGAGTCTGTAGTAATTTAGTCTCCCAAGGCCAGCCATTGGTCATTGTGAGGTTTGAACTGTGGGCCTGGGAGCTGTCCCTCAGCTCTTCAGCTGAAGGCTAGTGCTCTACCACTTGAGCCATAGCGCCACTTCCCGTTTTCTGGTGGTTTATTGCAGATAAGAGTCTCAAGACTTTCCTGTGATCCTCAAATCTCAGCACCTCCTGAGTAGCTAGACACCGGTGCCTAACTTGCATCTTTCTTAATAATATATTATTGACTTGTAAACATGCTATCTTTCTCTGTATGGGAAAGTATTCATTGGAGCAGTTTTTAGTACTAGTCTTTCCAGCCCAAATGACAGTCTGGCATGTTTATCTTCTGTAGCTCAATTTCCTAGCATCTATGTCAAGACAGTCAAGACAATTACCCGATTGAACAAAAGAAAGAGGAACAACCTCAGAGGTGACCCTGACTTTGTTATTGCTTTGTAAGTGTGAAGAAAGGGAAGAGGAAGCTCAATGTTTGGAATTTCTGACATTTCCCTACTTCTCATTTGGTTTCAGAGCCCGAATACCTTGAGACAGTCAGACAGACACTGGTGGACCTTTGATCTCACTGTATTTAATTAGGGAAACCAACAGGATCTTTTATGTTTGGAGGCCAGTAGTGTGTAACAAGCCCTGTGTACTGCAAAACCCGACAAATTGTGTTGAGTATTTTTGGACAACAGATCTAGTAGACCTTTTCTTGTCTGTACACTGTCAGCTTTTGACTCAAACAGAGTGGATTAACATAAAAAGAGAATCCTCTGTTCCTGGGGCATGCCTGCAAAGCATGAATCTGCTTCGTTTGATTTTTTTTTCTAAGCTAAGTCAGGTAAAATATAAAGCCATCACCATTTGTAGCCTTCCTTTTTTTTCTCTCTTTTAAATAGGCCTCAGATACCTATCTAATCAATGCCTTCCTCCCTAGGGTAAAACAATAGTTAACATATCTATACATACAGTGTTGTTTCCAAGATTAATGATCTAATGAATTTCAATTACTTTGTGTTTCTCAATTATACTATGGATTATAACATATAACATTTTACTTACATAAAATATCCAAGGGAGACATGAAAATGTTATATAATCTTACTTATAATGCTCTTACATACATAATCTTGTGCATCTTTCTATAGCTGAAGAATTAGTAAGTGGTTTAATTCTTCAGGATTTCTCCTTTAAGCAGATTGCCTTACAATTTCATTTTATCCAACCATGGTCTTGTTTCCTATGATGTGTGAAAATACAAAATTTTTCAGGAACTCCTTTATTAATTTTCTGAAATTATCTAAAATTATCTTTAAGTAGTGTTACAAAGGAATTGCCATTTAACAAAGCAGTTTAGGAATAAAATATATCTTGATCAATGTCAATGTTTTTAACAGTCTGATCCATCCCTCTCTTACCTAACCCTTCCTTCACTTCTTTTAATTTTTAATTTTCCCTCTTCTCTTCATCTACCTCTTTCCTCTTGATTTCACCCCACCTTCTACAAGTACCTACTTTCTGGTATTTTATTTTGCTGAACTTTTAACTTTGCCTTTCTAAGAAATAACAGTATTCAGTACTATTGAATCTACCATGTTTCAGGCAATACATCTGTATACACTTACATACTACCCAATATATTTACTTATAGGCTTATAAGCTAAATCTAGCTTCCACCTATAAGGGAAAGCATGCAACTTTTGTCTGTCTGGGCCTGACTTACTTCACTTAACATAATTATTTCTGAGACTTTCTATTTCTCTACAAATTGCACAATATCATTCTTTCTAATGGATGCCTAAAACTCCATTGTATATATACATACATATATTTTTCTTGATGCATTGAAGGGCATGATTCCATGCCTTAGCTGTGGTGACTAGGGCTGAGATGAACATGGCTATGGCTGGTGGCTTTACTGTATCCTGGGTTC